TTTGCATAACGAAGCCGGGCCAAAAAATCGTCTTTTTTCCGCCGTCTTGGGAAAGTGAACCTTGTTTCTGCATAAGTGCATTCTTTTATGCAGTCGTTTAGTCTGCAATGTCTCGAAGATCTTGTGCCCTACTTTGCCAAATGTACCGGAGCGATGCGAAAACGGTTAAACGCGAAGAAAGAAGTAGCGTAGGTGAAGTTAAGAACTTCGATTTAAAAATGATTATTAAGGGCTTTTTGTAGTCATTTTTTTAAATATATTTGGTATAATTAGATATATCATCAAAAATTTATAATATTATTTGAAAAGTAAGAGCAGCTTTAGAAAATTCTAAAACAAAAATTAAAAATGTAAATATTTTGCCCAAACCAAACCAAAACCTAACCAAATTATCAAGAGTTAGACGTAATGGAACAATGCAAGTTGTTAATATACATGTATCATCAAAAACTTCAAACTCAAAATGTTGTTTTTACCCCCACTACCACTAATTTTTATCCCCACTACCATTAACATAAACTATTTTAACATACAGGTTAAGTTTGATAGGAGAATCATCGCCATTTGATGCAAAAGAAGACAGTACCTCTATATGAGACTCTATCAATCTTCTTGAGGTATGGCTTGTACTGATTGAAGATTAATCGCTGAAACCTCCTCCGAAATTGTCATGCCATTTGGATAATAATTTGTCTTAGCTGCCAAAATATGCTTGTAACTTGGAAACACATCTTTAAGACGCCACAGTGGGGTATTTGACACAGATAGTTGATCGAAATTTTTTTATGTAGACCTTATATAAATTATTGCTATTTTCAATTAAAGAGAAAATAATATGAACAAAATAAAGGATAATTCGTCGATTCTAACAAAAGAAAGAAAAATCACTGTTCCAGTGTTTCCACGGTCAGTGCCAGTAGTAATATCGCAACTACTACTACTAATGCTACGACTGATCCGCGAGCAATGCCCATACCACTAAAGTCGCTACTAATGCCAAATTGTGCTATACTGCTAATGGCACTAATGCGATCGCTTTGTACACAACAATGCCAACGCGGTTTACACCTCGCATTAGTATATCACTTTGAATAAGAAGACTAAGGAAGGAGCATAATGCTATCCATGTACTCATGCATGGTGGGCGGAAAAAGCACCATAAAAGCACTCTAGGGTGGGGATCCTTGACAGTTCTGTTTGACGATTCATTTGACACATTTGAATTTGATTTGAAATTTTTTGGATTTGTCAGTCTTTACGGAGCTTATTTTATGTTATTTATTATTTATTCTACTACTGATAGTTGTATAAAGGTAGAAGATCTAGATGAAAATTGTGGCAGAACTTAAATTAACAGTGACACTATCGCGATTTATTGAAAAAGACTCTAAAATAGTTGGTTGTGTAGCGTGCGGTAGATCTCGGCAAAAATTGAGTGAAATAATTGAACAACTTTTCGCTAGTAAGTGACTATATAATATACATACGTGTAGTAAACCGATCATTTATGAAATTCACTTAAATTAACTAAATTATATATTTTTCTTGCATTTTAGCTTTTATTTATTACTTGTCAAAGATTAGATGTCAAAGAATTTAGATACGTTAATTTGACTTACCTGCTTCAGTAGCGGATGTTTGTGTTAATAAATACTTATTATAACATCTATTTTTATTAGAACGAAATTTTTATTTATTTTAACATATGTTTATAACAATTTTAATAACTACCAACATTTATTCACAACGTAAAATAAAACAACAAATTATTGAGTCTACCCCACGTCTACCCTACATCATAGTTTTACATTTTTTAAATAAAATTAGAACGACACTGATAAACCGGAATTTAAGTCGGCCATATTTGAGGCCCATCGCGGTGTACCTAAGATTTTTGATATGCTCCTTCCTTAGTCTTCTTATTCAAAGGTATATCACTGATTCGCAAATTAGAGGAAACCAAGAATGTTTTTCTCATTTTATCAGCAAAGTCGCAAAAAGTCGCAGTATTTTATTTTACTGTATGAAAGCCCAATGTTTACTAAGTAAAACAATATGCTGAATTCTTCGAAATGCGCAACTAAATCTCTAAGTATAATAAAAATGTCACAAATTTAATCAAATTTTCTGAACGCCTAACTTTTAGTTGCAAAAAAAATCGTTAGTATAGAGAATATCAAAATAAATAATACGTTTTTGTAGAATACATACCTGCAGCTTGCTGAGCCATTTTCAATCAAAACAATAATATAAACGTAAAAAGAGCACAAGAACAACAACAATTTATAATTTTAAACATAAAATTTAGCCATTTACCTCTTATCTGTGAGAAGTAACAACTTTGACGTTTCGTTGAAACAAATGAATGCAACTAAACACACCCATAGCAACGCCATTCATGGCAGAGATGATTTAACTTATTATTTATCTTATTTTGGGAAATCTTAAACACATTTGCTTTTTCGAATTTCGATCACCTTTTTCATGCTAATACCCCACCGTGAGACGTTTTAATTTTAACGCATTCCTAAGAACATGGTATTGAGCTTGTGTTAATTTCAAATCCGTAAATACAGGCAGACCTTCATCAAGAGAAAAATTGCCGAATTGAATATTGGTGTTATTCATTGCATTTTTGAACGCAGTGCCTTTCTCTCTCTCGATAGAGTATCAGTTAAGATTTCAACGATTACAAGAGCATCCTTACTCCCAATAGCCCTAAAGCTCATAGTAGTTGCAAACCCAATTCTTTTTTTTTTAATTCTTTTCTATTAACGCTCTTTTATTTAACGCTAACGAGTCTTTGTTTAGTTTTTATACTAGCCGATTGAAATGAAACTTTTGAGGGTTTAAAAAACTTTAACTCCCTGTGACTAATAAAATAGCTTCTAGCTACGATTTATTATATTTGCGAAACTTGTTTAAGGAACAGCAACTTTTTTCCACTTTCGATATTAAACAATGAAAAATAATCGCAGCTGGGTCTTAACACCTTTCCTTTCATCGACACTAAGGGAGTTGAGATCCAATAATTGCATCACGACATCCGACAAAACGGCCAGACTAGCCTTTTATGTTGGTTTTAAAACATCTTTTTTCTTGATCTACTTCTAATACACATTTTGTAAAAATTGAATGACGTATGACGGGTGTCCCAGGCTGAGCCTGCGTTAGAAGTTTCTAGAGAACTACAATATCTAAATACGAGATTTTGTGCATATCATTGTTTCACAATGAGATCTATCGATTAAAAATATTTTCAATATGGCGGCACTTTCGGAAGTACCAGAAGTTGACAGAAACTTTCTTATTTTAAATGGGTGACCCCATTTTTTATTACATGCTTAAGTTTTCTGTAAAATTTTATGAATGTTGATATTAAACACTCTATACCTAACGTTAACCGTTTTGAGAAAAAAAACAGATTTATAATTTTTGGAAAAAAAAAACTGCCTGCCAAAAATATGTATATAGCCTAAACGTCCAATTTAGTGATATCTATGTCAAAAATTAAATTGTCCGAATGTCATATAATAATGGCCGCAGCTGTCATGGAATTGGGCGATTAAAAAAATATCATAAATCATTTTTTTTTCAAATGGAAACCCACTTTTTTTATTTCACTCGTGAAAAGGCTTTTGTTACTTTCTTTTTTAAAATTTGTTACTTTTTGACTATACATGTTCCTGTACCTAAAATAAATCGTTTTTAAGTTATTTAAGATTTAGCTTTAAAGCGTATATTTTTCTTGATTTTAATCAGTAGCCTATGACAGTATATTATCGATCATCATTTCCAAGCTAATTTTGCGCTGTTTTTTTTTCGATCATACGCTATATTATTAAAATATCAACTATTAGATATCACTAAAGAACGAAAATACGAGATATATTTATATAAATACACTTTTAAAACTTTTAAGCAGCAGTAGTTTGTCTGACTGTTTGACACTTAATGTGAAAGGAAGCTTGATAAAATCAAGAAAAATATACGTTTTCAAACTAAATCTTAAATAACCTAAAAACGATTTATTTTAGGTATAGGAATATGTCTAGTTAAAACGTAACGAATTGGAAAACCTTTTCACTAGTGAAATAAAAAAAGTGGGTTTCCATTTGAAAAAATATATATATGATAATTTTTTAATTGCTCAATTCCATGACAGCTACCGCCATTATTAGATATATGATATTTGAACAATTTAATTTTTGAAATAGATGTCTGTTATAAAATCAAGAAATTTGACTTTTAGGCTGTACAAATTTTTTTGACAGGTAGTTTTTTTTTGTCAAAAAATTTTAAATATTTTTTTCTTAAAAATGCTTCCAGGGAAATACCGCGACAAAACATCGCGATTTTGTAAGTCCTCCAAGATCCGAGGGGCCCCTTCGCTGTCTCAGGCCCGTGGCCCCCGTTATTCTAAAGACTTGACTGCTCATCATAAGCTAGAATACAAGTTATGCTGTGCATTGGTTGTAATTTAAAATGTTTATTCAGTAAAAATAAATTAATGAAACCATTGAAAAATAACTTAAAAAGCTAAAATAAATAAATTCAGTCTCAAAATATATAAAAAATAATAATTATTCGATATTTTAAACAAAGAAAATTACCTCTTGATTTCATTTCCTAAATAGAAAATGTCATTGACAATTACTGGGGCCTGATAATTGATAATTAAGCAAATATCTGCTTCCATTTATACTGTTTATAGTTGGCGTATACGCATGGTTTGCATACTCCACCTACAAACTGCTTTATAACTACTGAACACATATTGGCCTTGTTTGCCAGTTGAATAAAAAATTACTTATTAAGATTCGGAGGCCCCCTAAAAGACGGGGCCCGGGGCGGACCGCCCTTTCCGCCCCCCCCCTTAATCCGCCATTGCCTGAATTTATATATTAAAAATTGAAGTAAAACTTTTACAAACAACTGTGGCCAGTAATAAACATTTTTTATATTCTCTATGCTAAACAGAACCTTTTTTTTTGTTTCAGATGCAAAGCCTTCAGGCGGAATGGAACAACAACTGGAAAGCCATCCAAGACATAGAACTTCAATTACCTGTTTCCAACGATACACATTCCCGTCATCAGAGAATTCTACGTAAACACTTACTCCGTTTGGAAAGAGTCACGAGACTTCTACACAAAGAAAACATCTCACTGAAGAACAGACTGATCAAGGTTGAGAAAGGAATGAGCCTAAAAGAAAACACTGACAGTTTTGACAGAATCAACGGAAACGATATCCAAAACTACATAGAAACCAATCAGATTCAACCTCTGTATGACGATAGGAAAGAGATTCTTTGCAAACGATTTACCAACTTAAGCGAACAACAGATCATCAATACCAAGTCAATAGCAAATTTAACTAAACAAATGATCAACTTCGACAAGCTACACATGTCAATGCTGGAGCTGTTGGAGAACGTGGAAACTTTGGAGAACAAAGTGGACAAGGCTTTCCCAGAATTCCGTATCGAGATTTCGAAGGTTGAAAATCAGGCGATCCAAGTCTCTTCTGACATATCTTTGTTGAAAGAAGATAGGAACAACATTAGAGATTCTATGAAAGCTATTAGTTTTTCTGTGTCGAAATTGCAAGAAGGCGAGGCTGAGAAAAACGAAAGAATTGGAAAGATGGAAGAACATTTGAAAGTTATGGAAAAGAGCGCAGTGGTGCAGAATTCCAGACTGCATGACCATATTCTAAAGGTAATTTTATATCTCCACTTTTTTTATATGATATACCGGGTATTTAATACACATTTATTTTAATTTTGTTTTTTACATACGACATGGACTATTGTAGCTAAACGATTAGATTTTTTAGGTTAGTTGGAGGACTATTAGAACTACAATTTAAAAATAATTTTGCAAGATTTTTTAAACGGAACACCCTGTATATTATTCTATGTTTAGATTCTACGATTGAAATAAACTTAAATTTGATTAGGGCTTATCACACTTAAACGTTACCGTTTTTAAATTATTTTCAAGTTTGTGAAATTGCAATAAAAAAATTAAGGCTTCTCTCAACAGATGATTAAGACTCAAAACAGTTTTAATCATCTGCTGATGATGCTAATATGGTTAGCGAAAAGCGCATCCAGTGTAAACGTAGTGTTTTGGTGTATTGTGGTGAATTAGTGTTTTATTTTGCCCAAATATTAAAAAACTTAATTTTGTATGTGTATTAGTGTAAATTTTATTTATTTTTTTACTGCTTAATTATGAATGCTTCATTATAGCAACAGAGACGTTCATTTTTATAACTTAGTATTATATTGATTTCTGAGTTAAATCCACATTTATTCAGAATAATTTATTAATTAAAACAATTAAGTAGGTATGTGGCTAACTAATTTTTGGGCGGAAATAATGGTGGTATATTTAATCGGTATACTCTTTTACAAATATTTAAATACTTTTCTTTTTGTAAACAAATGGGCTTGCAATATTATTATTTTTACTTCCTGTACATTTTGTACATATGTAAAGTGTAAAAAAATCTAAAATGTCAATATTCCATGGGTACAGTGATAAATAAGGTCTAAATTATAAGAAAATGCATTTTCTACGAAAACTTGAAGAGATAAAATAGTATATCCAATTTGATAGACAATTAAATTGTGCATCTGATTCATTTAAAACATACAGGGTGTTCTATTTAAATTAAACAATTTATTGCCGTTTAAAGCTAGTAATTATTTAATATACATTTTTGGAAACTCTATATAACGTAGTATAATTTTTATTATTGTAAAATCTAATAATCTTCAGTATAAATATTTAGTATTAAAACCTTTAATACCCTTGGAGAAATGAAGCCTTAATTTTTTTTCTGCAATTTCACAAAATTGAAAATATTTAAAAAAACGGTAAGGTTTAAGCGTGATAAACCTTAATCGAATTTACCTTTATTTCAATCGTAGAGTCTAAAAATAGAATAATATACAGGGTGTTCCATTTAAAAAAATACAACTAGGTACAATATTTTTTACTTATTTGGAACACTCTGTATTTTGTAAAATTATTTTTAAATTGCAGCTCTAATAGTCCTTCGAACCCATAACTTACAATTTGTAAAAATCTAATCGTTTAGTTACAATACTCTGTGTCGTATGTTGTGAACAACCCTGTATATGGCGTCAAGAAATTTAATACCATATTTTTTGTTTTACTTTTTATACTAGCCCTGATCACATTGATCAATGCATGCGACAGAGAAAAATATAAATGACCGGTTGACAGACAGAGAGACAAAATAAAAAGTGGCATACAGTATTGCCAGTTTTTACGTTTGTAGGCAAATAAGATTAAAAGAAAAAAATAAACTATTTTAAAAACTTTCATGTATACTATTGAAATGACGATGGTATATCTAAGCTAAATATAATCTATTAAAGCTGTAGTAAAATGAAGTAACCTAATTCAATACAATACAATATCCGGCAATACCGCATAGACGAAATGTATCAACCCAACTTTTATCTCTTTTTAATATATTTGATTTTAAATTGAACTGTCGACATCACTGTCTTACACCTTAAAATCCAGATCACGCAGTTTCGATGACCAGATCGCTACAAGACTCTATTTCTAGTACTTTACTTACTTTTAAACTAGTTCCACTTTTTGTAGGACTGTTACGGTTAAAGGCCGCTGTCCGGTTAATGTCAACATTAACAGGTTAATGTTAATGTCGACATTAGTTAATGCTAATGTTAATGTTTGGTTTTGTTTTTGGTTGTTTTGTTGTGTGTTATTTCGAGATTAACTGGGTAATGTCGATATTAGCCGAATATCGGACCTTAACCGTAACAGAACTAAGGAAATCAAATTTAAAATAAGCATTAAAATAACATTAAAACAAATATCCAGTGCCTGGTTAAAACATAGTCCAGTAGATAGATATAGCATAATCTTTTGAAACATATCACCACCAGAACATTCACTGATCTAAAATTAGGTTACAATTATACAATATCTATTTTTCAAATCTTATCTTTTACAGATAAACCACGTCTCATTTTAACTCGTAACAATTATCAAAGACTCGACGTTTTCTTCTCATATCCGACATATTTTACGTTATAATTACTTAATATGCATTAAAAGATATTTATAAAATGTTGTTTAAACTGTATTGCGCCCATTTTTGGTGATATTATCTACCTGCATATTTCTAAAGCATGTTTAAAATAAAACAAGAAATATTAATTATTAAATAATTCATCAAAATACTAAAGCTAAAAATACCCAATTTTGATCTATAAGAGATTATAGAACTATAGTTCATATCAAATAAACTTTTAGTCACGTGATTAAGCTTGACCGACACAGCGTTGCCTACATTTACATATTTTCTTTTAATTAAAATATTTTAGGAAACAAAAATTAATTAATTATAAATATAGGGTGTCCGGAAATTAATGCAACAAAATTTGGTCATAGATTCTTGAAAGAAAAATAGGCGACCCGTATTTTTTATTTTTGGCCAGTGGTCCCCCTTTTCGGATTTACAGCCCAAAGTCTAAAGTTGTTTGTAACCTAAATGTAGTAGAATAAAATTTCATATGAATCTCGATCTGCATTCAATCACATTTTGTCATTTTTCTCGAAAACTGTGCGTTTTACGAAAAAATTCCAAGCGACAAAAACATTTCTAAATTCAATGGGCTTTCTAACGAGCTAATAATTTTTAAAAAATTTAAACACGTGACCGAAGTTTTGGGGCTCCAAAGCCAAGGGGGCCCACGAAAAAGTATCTCAAGAGGCTCCTTCGGCAAAAAGCATATCACTATCTGATTCCGCATGCCAGATGCCTCATGCCAGATTCCGCATGCCCTGTGTACCAAATTTAGTGATTTTCGTCTAACAGGGCCCTGAGATATTAAAAAAAAATATATTTTTAGGGGCGAAATTCAGGTGGCTGTAAATCCGAAAAGGGGGGGCCACTGGCAAAAAATAAAAAATACGGGTCACCTATTTTTTTTTTCAAGAATCTATGACCAAATTTTGTTGCATTAATTTCCGGACACCCTGTATAAACAGTTATTATTTACATCAAAAAAGCTCACCTTCTTAAGAGCGCTTAAAGGACATAAAGGGCCATTACTACCGCTTTCACAATCAATTGTTTATATTCTAATAAAGTTGCGATGAGTTTTTTACGGCTATTAAGCTATCTTTTACACTTCGCATTAAAAGAGGTTCTAAAAAGAACAATGTTCGACTGCAAGGTCTGCTAGTAAACATTATTAAGCTTAAAGTAGCCCAGCACAATTCATTTAAACCAAAAACTGGTAATACAAAACTAAAGTGTCAAAACGAATGACAATTTCAGGAAATAAATAAATAAATGTGGCAACTTGATATTTTTTACAGCAGGGCTATCACCTGAATCCCCAGCGGAACATTTAAATTCCAGTGAGACAGCCCGGCGCCGAATATGTCCATGGTTGCCAACAATGAATTTAAAAATCGCGCCTTCGTAGACAAATAGAGAAAATAGATAATATAATAATAATAATAATAAATAGAGAAGTGATTATATTATATATTTATATATTATATATATTATATTATCAATATTTGGATTTTGGTGTCATTAATCAAGGTTTTAGGTAGAATTATTATTAGCGTGTGTCATAAATATGTTCAAACTACTCAACTTTTTTTCAAAACATTCTATAGTAAATCATTCAATTTAGAAAACGCTTTTGCCTTTACATATTTTTTTCTACATAAAGTACTTGACAAAAAATAATAATAAAAATTTATTCGAAATAAAATTAAATTCTAGACAAAAGTAACTTTTCAAAAAAACCTAATACAACCTTTGCATAACATTATCTGGGGAGATAATATTTGACATTTTCAAAATTTACCGCCGAGGGACATTCCTATATTAGCTCAAAAAATCGATTACTTGTATTTGTGAGTCATCACAAACGAGGCAATTATAGGTATTTTTCATCATTCATTAAAAAAATTCTAATTATTTTTCGATAATCGGATGATGACTTTGACGATTATTTTTTTAATCGAATTATGAACGATTTTTAACTGAATTAATTAATCCATCACTAATTACAATAGTATAACATTCCCTTACAATAAACAATCAACTAATGTTTCTTCCTCTATTTCAGGATGAATCGTCCTCAATCAACCTCAACGCCACCAAATCCACCATCCACCTCGTCGAGGAACTCAAGAGCTTCGAGAGCGAGTACAAGAGCATCGTGAACAAGCTCCCCAGGCACTGCGGCTCGGTTGACGGTCCCAAAGGCATCTACCTCATCTCCCCAGGCGACGGTGAACCCATCCTGGCCCACTGCGAGGACGGCTGGACCACCATCCAGAAACGCTACGATGGCAGCGTCAATTTCAACAGAAACTGGAACGAATACAGTAACGGTTTTGGTAGCTCAACCGGTGAACACTGGCTGGGAAACAGAAACCTACATCAGCTCACCAAAGACAACTGTACATCGCTGCAGATCAACATGAAGGACATCTATGGAAAATACTGGCAAGCCTCGTACGACCATTTCACCGTCGCGGACTTCAGAGAAGGTTTCAGGTTGGTCGTTTCCCATTACCATGGTAACGCTAGCGATGCCATGGACTACCAGAACAAGATGGAGTTTTCCACTGTAGATAATGATAGAGATATCTCCAACACGCATTGTGCCAGTAATTACGAAGGTGGCTGGTGGTTTTCGCATTGCCAACATGCTAATTTGAACGGAAGGTATAATTTAGGATTAACGTGGTTCGACAGTTCAAGGAACGAATGGATTGCTGTGGCACAAAGCGAGATGAAAGTTAAAAGGAGAAACGTTTGTTAAGATTTGTTTTGAGTGGGAAAATGAATAACAGTTATGAGGAGTTACCTAAAAGTTCATTCGAAGAATGGCAGTTATATTAAGAAGAATGGATGGTTATTGAAAAACTTCATATAGATCAAATGATCTAGATTGATGAAAATTTTCAAATAAGTGTAAGATTATCGTTACTTGGAAATTGAATATCATTTTGAGTTCATTGTTACTCTAATAGGTATTTTATATTATATCTCTGATGTTTTGTTTCTATACGATTTTAGTCATAGATAAGAATGACTTGTTTCAATTCGAGAAGGAACTCTAGATAGATCAAGCGATGGCTTACAAAGCACTACAGGGTGACCCAGTGTTTTTTGCTTATGACTGACCCATTTTTTATAAAAAACTGCTGGTAATAGTATCACACATTTAAAAAACATACAGGGTGATTCAAACATATTTTTCACTGAAATTGCATGTTTTAAATAACATTTTAAAAACAGAAAATTAGCAGACTAGCGTCGATTTTTGATATACTAAATGAAATTTACGTTCTTTATTCGTATAATACAGGATGTTCCATTTAAATTAGTGGATTAAAATATATCCAGTATTGACTCACCCTGTATAAATCATAGAACCTAGTATATTTTTACACAGTTTAATACCGGGTGCGTCTCAAAAGTGGCTCACCCATATAACTTTTTTATTTTTTCAGATATAACGAGATTTGGTATGTTAGTATATGACATAAATTAGGATTGATTGACGTATTCAATTGTTTTTGGTCACTTCTTTTTTTCACCGGAAATTACTACAACCTTTGATTTTTAAATGGCACCCTCGGTATATTTTTACTTTATTCGACAGAAAATTAAGTCAACTTTTTACATTTTTGCTCAAAAATAAATTGTATTTTAAATTTCAATCCTGAGTGCCATGGCTGTGTTAAAAACACTAATTTTTAATCAAGGAGCCTTGGAAAAACAGATTTGATCGTCTAAAGTTTTTCGCGTCTTGTTCTGGCCGGTTAAAAGATGCCCAAATCGTATTTTTAATCATATCTCAATTTTTTCAAATGGAATAAGGGTGGCTCATTAGCTTATTTGGAAAAAGATTTTTTTACGAATAATTTGGTACCACAGACTTGGTATTTCGAGTCAAATTGTTGTTATGAACCGCGCGTTACAATTTCAAATAAACCATATGCGAAAATGTCGCAAAAGTTGACATATGATATGTCATTTTACTCAGAGTGTCATTTTCTATCGAATAAAGTAAAAACATACCGAGGGTGTCATTTAAAAGTAAAAGTTGTAGTCATTTCCGGTGAAACAGGACGTGATCAAAAACAATTGAATACCTCAATCAATCCTAATTTATGTCATATACTAACATACCAAATCTCGTTTTTTTATCTGAGAAAATAAAAAAGTTATAGGTTTGAGCCACTTTTGAGACGCACCTGGTATATCTCAATTAAACTAAACAGAAAACAGGGTTTAACGACTTTTTCACATATACTTTCATTTCAACTAAATATTGTTGATAATCTGTATAAGAGTAAAACTTTTTAGTACATACAAGCTGATTTGAACTAATATTATTTTAATATCAGCTGGTGCTGAACAGTTGTACGGATAACTTAAAACAACTATGTATTGCCTTGGGCTAGAAAAAGACTGTAAGCCATTATTCAAAACAAAATAATTTATATTAACATAATTTTTTGTTTAGAAACAGCAATCTCATATGTAAAGTCTATCCAGCGAAAGAAACAACTATTTTGACAGAAAAAATTATCTACTATTGAATTAAAATGACAGACCACAACTGTCACCATCATACATTATCTCGCTAGACAGACTATAGTTAATTTAAACACGTGCTATTAATAATAGCAACATTTAGAAATATAAGATAGTCATTAGGTATAGTCTCGCTAACAAAGTCATGTTTGTGTTAAGACATTACAAATGTCTGTTACCTAGTATGCTTTTATTCTTAATTTTAAGTCGTTTTGTGTACTTTTTTAGAGAACTTCATAGAACTATATCAAGTAAGAAATTCATTTCATATTTCCTTCATTTTGGAGTTTAAAATGTTTCTTTGTTCGCTAATCTCCAGTTATATTGCTATATCTTTTGAATGGACTTTAGTTACTTTGATATTGTTCTCATTTTTATCACAGAAGTCCAAAGAATAGCTTTTAGAAGCCCACGTTCATTATAGTATAGCTATAATATAATAAAAATAGCTTAAAAGTGAGTTTGTGCACCGTAAACTTACAACTAAATAATGGTTTCCTGTATCTAAATCTAAGTTGTTGCCATTATGCTATTTCTAGATTTTATTAAGCTTATTGTTTCAATTCGTCAGAGACTTATCTCTCCATTTGAGATTGTCTACTATATCTGTCCTTATTTTATCGCCAGTATATACCAAAGATATGCTAGTTCACGTTATTTAATTGTTAAGGAGCACCTAATATTTTACTCGTATAAGTTAAGCCTTTTAAGTTAATCAAAATATATTTAAGTAATTTATTCGTATGTATAGTGGTTATTGTATTATAGATTGAATAAGTAATCGATGTTGCCAGAATTGCCATATCCTCCTGTATATAGACTAATCGTCGTTTTGTGTAAATAGGTCGATTTTTTGTACCAGCGATATATATTTTTTTTATAATAAAAATTATATAGAAAAATTATGTGTTATATTTTCCCAAACAATGAAAAAAAAACAATTCTTTTCGAAGGCTTCTTGATTAAAAATTAATGAATTAACACAGCCATGGCACTCTAGATTGAAATTTAAAATACGATGTTTTTTTTAAGCGAATATGTGATAAGTTGATATATGATATGTCATTCTATTCAGAGTGTCAATATTCTATCGAGTAATGTAAAAAAAATAACGAGGGTACCATTTAAAAATCAAAAGTTGTAGTCGTTTCAGTTGAAATAGGAAGTGACCGAAAAGAATTGAATAGGTACGTCAATCAATCCTAATTTCAAATTCAAATTCCATTCAATTTTTTTATTAGACCCCATTAAGTTTTACAGATTAATAATTGTGCTAGAGTGGTGCGACCCCAAAAACAAAATAAAAATAAATTAAATTATTAAAATAAACAGAAATTAGATTAAAAAAAGGGAAAATATAACTTTATCAGGGATGAGCGGAGATAAGCTGAGAGGCATAACGAAACAGTGTAAAATTCGGAACAGCAACCAATGACGGGCATATCAGAAGATCAAGAACCTCGGAAATCAGTCAAAGAAACTATAATTTTTACGAATTAAGTAAATGATTATTAATTTGTTTTTTATAATCTGTAAAGGATTGAAATTTAAAGTTATTAGAAATATTATTCCACAAATGTGGCACTATGAAACTGAAAGATTTTTGGAAGTTAGCTGTTCGGTGTTGAGGAATTTTAAAATAATGCCTAGTCGAAGGAGCATGGTCAACGTAGTGAAATAATGAGAACAGATAGGGAGGCTGCTCTGTACTTAAAATTCGATAAGTGAATGTCATTAAATTAAATTGTCGTCTGTTAGTCGTGGATAAAATAGATAATTTTTTAAGATGTGGTGTTATATGATCTCTAAAAGGAATGTTAAAAGAAAACCGTAAACACGAGTTTTGAAGTATTTGGATTTTTCTAGAGAATCTAACCACGTTTATAGATGTACCATAAACAACATCGCCGTAAACAAATAAAGATAAAATAAGTGCCTCACATAATATTGATACTTAGTGTTTGATGGTATATATTTCTTAAGAGACGAAACATTCTTCAAACGTATATAAGCAGCCTTTAATTTAGTAGTTATATATGCCTGAAAAGAAAGCTTCCCGTCAAAATAGACTCCAAGATTTTTAGTCTCTGTAACAGTGGGTATCACAACATTATCTATATGGATATTCATGTTACTAGTCGAATTTGTAATTTTGTTTATATCACTATCAAATACTATAACACAAGATTTACCGGCATTTAATTTCAAATTATGATCCAGTGCATATTTATTAATTTTATTCAGATCGTCGTTAAAATTTAACTGAAATTGTGCCAAATTATTAATATACATTTTGCAATAAATTTGAGAATCTGCTGCAATTTAGAAAACTGTACTTCCTTATCCATGTCAGCTACATATAACGAAAATAAAAATGGCCCTAGAATAGATCCCCGAGGAACCCCAGAAATCATAGGAATATAACTAGATTGTTTTAAACTTCCCCGTTTCATGACAACTGACAACACAATGTGATCTATATTTTAAAACGTTTTTTTAACAATTCTAAAGAACCGTCTGAAAATCCAAAATACTGAAATTTTGCTAGGAGCAATGAATTGTCTAGAGTATCAAATGCTTTACTAAAGTCTATCAGCTAAGACAAGTGGTAGTGCTGTAGTTCTTACAAAAAGTAGATTGGCATTCAGGTATTAGTTTATTTGAATCTACAAATGAAACAATTTGATTATGTAGATGTTTTTCTATAATTTTAGAAATTGCTGGCAAAATACTCACGGGTCTTAGATCGTTATTATTTAAAGGTTTGGACATTTTACAGAGAGGTGATATAATAGCTTTTTTAGGGATTTCGGGATAGACACTGTTTAAAATAGAAGTATTAATTATATTTTTTATTACCGCTTTACCACAGTAAGGCATGCACAGCTTTAGTGCTTTAATTGATAAATTATCTTCACCGACAGCATTACACCGAAAAAATTTAATGAATTTAATATTTGATGTAACGATACCTCATCAATAGTTTGAAATTTAGAACATTATTCCCTATTATTCTAATTTATCTCATGTACCAACATACCAAATCTCGTGTTTTATCTGCAAATATAAAAAAGTTGTAGAGGGTGAGCCACTTTTGAGACGCACCCGGTATAGGGTGACCCAAAATCACCTCGATTTATTTCAAAAACCGCTCTATATCTGCCAATAATGTACCTACTATACTATAACTCTTTAAAATAAAACACAAACACTTTCAAAACATTTTTATTGTAATTATTTATTTTCATATTAACTACGCTTCTTTTTTGGTACGCTATTCAAATTTTAGGAACACCATATTTACACAACAATATTATAAATAACTGTCTTAAATATAATTATATATAATCTTTATATAAATTAGTTCTTAAAAACATAATTAAAATAAAAGCTAAGTCTAGATACAGACAAATATTTACAGATCGATATTTTAAAAATTAAATGGCCCATTATCAAAATTAGTTATCTATGTCATTAGGCACAGAACATATAGAAAAATGCTTACTTATTTATATAATTTATAATTATACAGAAATAACGGACATATCAACAATATAAAATGGCTGCACGTACACTCATATGCACGAAAAATGGGCACCTTAAAATTTTGATGATTTTTTAAGCAATTTGTAGCTAAATTATTTGACCTTTTAGTATCTCTTTCTAAATCAAAAATGAAAGTTTCCATCTGTCAATTATACGAGGGAAAACAAAATGTTGATATTTTGGTGAAAGTTTGAAACACCCTGTGGAATATGCTAACAAAGCAAGGAATTTAAAAACCATTTTATCATCTAGGTACGTCTTTTCTCGACAGATTCTTTTTTGATTCATCTCGATAGCTTTATTTTTGTTGGAGATATTCGTTTTTGAATAAGACAATAACGATTTACAGCAATTTTAGCATTGATTTTGGGTCCTCAAAACCTCTTGGACTTAAAACCATATCTGCTAGATAATTCCATAACAGACAATAATATAATTTTTCATGATAGTGACATTACATAAATCATGAACACTATTCTATAGGTCTGTTGACTAGGAGCAAAAGCAAAGGCATGGTTTTAATTTAAAAAAATACGAAAAAATGCTAGTGTCTCAATCAAAAGCGAAAATCTCAAAAAAAATAAAGCTATTAAGATGAATCAAAAAACAAACTATCGAGAAAAGATATACCTAAATAATAAAATAATTTTTAAATTCGTTGCTTTGTTAACGTACTCGACAGGATCTATCAAACTTTCACCAAAATATCAACACTTTGTTTTCCCTCGTATAATTGACAGATGGCAACTTTCATTTTTAATTTAGAAAGACACATTAAAAAGGCAAATAATTTAGCTACAAATTACTTAAAAAATCATCAAAACCGGTCCACTAGAACACAATACAGGGTGCTACAAATTCGAGGTACGAGCATTAGTATCTAGGTAACCGTAATAGATACGAACATAGTTAAATTGGGACAAAGTTGCGCTTTTGGATGTTCACCAAGACGTCATCAAAAAAGTTTTAAAAATTTCAAAGAAAATTTCAAAGTTTCTTGTAAAAAAATGATTTTTTTTAAAATGCAGTATATTTTTTGCTGTCGTTACTTTTTAGAAAATCAAAAAAATAATTGCACATTCTCATAGCCACTTTATTAGGGCTATCTGATAGTATTTTTAGATTTTCATATTAGCTGATAATTTGTGAGATACAGAGGTCAACTTAATTTTTTAAAATACAGACCTGCATTTTTTATTTCCGATTTTGAAAGAACTCGGTCTCCTGAGTACAATGATATGCTACACTTATTTTTTTTTGTTTTGACATTTGGACACGATTTATTTAAACTAATTTCAAGTCCGGCTCTGTTTTTTTTAATATTTAATCTATTGATCGTTACAATATTGATTATCATTCAAAATTAACAATGACGTGGGGTAAAAGATTAATATACCAAAATAATTAATATAAATATAATATAATAAGTATAAACAATCAAATCATTTTCCCGGAAGATGGACTGGAACAATGGTAGAGCAGTATAATGTCCAGCGAGGTTCCTGGACCTTTCGCCAAAGGATTACATTACTTGACGTCATTTGTAAAAGTAAAAGCAATTCATCTCAAAATTTACAATAAAGAGTACAAAATGCGTTCGGAAGTATAAGAAGAAAATTTAAAGAGCTATAAATAAAATTAAAAGAAGAATAAATTTGTGCAATAGGGAGGGTGGTAACCCTTTCGAACATGTAGAACATTAGAAACGATTAATATTATGCATATTATCAGATCGCACACAGATTTCAAATTCACAATAAAAAAAGTTAAAAATAATATCTTTAAATTGCTGACGAGGATATTATTTATTTCAATTCAATTGGCTCGATTTTCCATATATTCAATGATAATTAGCGCTGATTAATATTGTTGCGAAGAATATAATCAGATTAAATGATTTAAAAACCAGAGTCGGACTTGTAATTATTTTAAATGATAATTAAATAGTTTTGTTGTGTTGTTAAGGTACCCAAAACAAAAAATTATAAAGTGTGGCATATCATTGTACTCAGGAAACCGAGTTCTTTCAAACTCTGAAATAAAAAATGCAGGTCCGTATATAAAAAAATTAAGTTGGCCTCTGTATCTCACAAATTATCAGCTAATTTGAAAATCTAAAAATACTATCAGATAACCCTAATAAAGTGGCTATGAGAACCTGCAATTAGTTTTTTGATTTTCTAAAAAGTAACGACAGGAAAAAATAAAATTTATATTCAAAAAAATCCGTTTTTTCCAAAAAACTCAGCAATCCTTGAAATTTTTAAACCTTTTTTGATGGCATCTTGGTGAACATCACAAAGCGCAACTTTGCTCCAATTTAACCATCTTCGTATCTCTTACGGTTACCGAGATACCAATGCTCGTACCTCGAATTAGTAGCACCCTGTATATAAATGTTTAAAATACATGACAATTTTAAGGTGCCCGTTTTTCGTGCCGGTGATTGTATATAGGAGATTGGCTTATGTATTTTGTAAATTTATTTTATAAACCAAAAAATACAAAGAATAATAAATTTTCGAGCTTCAAAGTAACTTATGAAAATTCGTAGACAAATGGGGGTAATACAAAGTTTTTCAAGAAACCAGTATCAGGTTTTTATACTGATATTTCATCATCTAAACACACAGTAAAATATTTTGAAACACTCCATATAATAACAGTAATAAATTCCTAGTACATGAACACTAGGAACAGAGTACGATAATGGAAATAATTCTGAGAATCTCAACAATGTTTTCAAAATAGAAACATATCAACAAAATGTCCTGTATTGCAATTATTGCTATAGATAAAAAACATATTATCAATACATACCTATGCATGAATATACCTATTAAATATTAGCTACTACTTCGTTTCTTTATTTAACATAAGTAAACAACTCTGACATTGCACTTATAGATTTTGTTGATACATTTTTATAAATAATCACGCATGAAATTAAGTTTTAGCCACATTCAATGTGTCTAATTAAGTAATAAAAATTCTTAAAATAAAATAATAGTTAATTTTACAATTTGTATAATCAATATTTATTCACTTTTATATTTAGAGGATGATCTTCAAGGTTTTTCTATTATTTAATATTAAATATATTCTAGGATAACAAAACGACTTATTAAGGTCGTAGAAATAAAGAATTTAATTTAAAAAGCATTCAATTAATTTAAAGCTAATCACGTTTCATTTCTACAGGGTGATCACAAGTTAAATATCTTGGCACAAAAAAGTTTTACTGTTAAGGATATTTAATACACGTTTGATAAACTCTCCTTGAATAGATTGAATTATTAGGTATTAATAAAAAAAATTAAGAAAAAAGGTAAAAACCCTCGGTGAAACTTTTTAATTACAATAATTTGTAAACTTTTAAAAGAGTTTTAAAATTAGTCTTTAAAAAAATCTAAATAAAAATGAAACTTCTACACCCTGTATCTCCGAAACGAAGCGTTTTAGGACATAAGGTTATACAAACTTTTTTATTTATTTTTATGTGCAGAATATGCTGCCAAAGTTTCCGGAATACATTTCGGACCACCCTGTATATCTTTTAATATTTCTTAATATTAAACCCTTAGTTTCCCAAAATACAATTTAAAAATTATTTCATTCTATGTTGCTAAATACTCTACCTAGAAATTTGTAAACTAAAATGTGAATACACTGTCTGGTAAATTTTAACACCATGTAGAGCAAAATTTAGAACTACTTAGTATTCATATTTGATTTATTTTTTAGTGTTGAATCTTATTTTCAACTACTAAGAGTTGAACTCCCTACTATACATTGAATTTATATACATATTATCAAACATCTTTATTTCCTATAAATTATAGCACCACAATTGAACAAAACAGTATTGCACACATATTTGTCACTTTTGACAAAAAATATTACCTCCTTTTTTATACTTTTAACTAATTTTAACTATAATATACTGTCTTAAAGCACATTTACACATTTCATATACAATCTCTTTGCTTACCCTGTATCTCAACTAAACAATATCAGTTAATAATCCAGTCACTGTAACATTAACTCAAATTTCTAAAAAACTAAAACAAATATCACCCATTGTCTTGTATGTTTAAAAAACCTTATACTATACTATCCCACTGGATTTTTCATTTGTCAGTGGAGCATAATTACCCCCTTTTGGTGGTTCCTTCTTCTTAAATGTCACGTAGGTATACAACAAACTTCCCACTACACTAATATTTAATCCTATAAAATTGAGCCACGAAAATATATAGTCTCCTCCAATGAACATACCTAAATAGGTAACACAAATGTTCTTTAGACAACCTATAATGGTTGTAGTCAATGCTGAATTATATAAAGTACACAGAATCACACTATACATTAATACGAAACCCATTACGCATGAGAGGAAAAACTGAAATAAGAAAAGAGGGTCTTCCCATCGATTGTAGTTGTATGCTAGCTCTAAACCACCAGTATAAAACGATAAAAATATTGCCGGAACGATCATGAACAAAGAATTGTAGAACATCAGTCCGTATTTGCCTAAATCCTTAGAATCCAGCTTCTTTTTAGTATACACGCCGTTTATAGCCGTAAAAAAGTCATTAATCAAGACAAAAATATATCCTTGAAGGTTAAAAGCTAAGTCATTACTTGCTGCTAAGACGGCTCCGATGACCATCATGTAAACACAAAACTGTACACTAAAACTCGGCCTTACTCCTAATACATACAGCTCCAGGATCATTGTCATAAGTATTGAAAACCTCCTTAATGCTGTGAACATCGGTAGTGACAATTCTTTGGTTCCTCCCAGTCCAAAAATCATATTTCCAATGTAAATGAGGGGTAGAGGAAATATTTTTTTAGCTGTGTTAAGGTCGAAGCTTGGAAACGATACTATTCTTAGTTTTTTTCCAATAAACAAAACTAGTATAGTTGCCACCATTTGTCCGATGCCCAAAACTTCAAACGATGGAAATCCATAACTGGTAAGGACAGTCTTATTCACGACGGTTATCATGAAAGAAGCTACTGCGTAAAACAGGGCAGAACCGATCTTCTTCCAAAACAGCGAGTTTTCATTTGGATCTTCTTGATTAGCTTCAACAGTCATGTTTATTTTTTTATTTTTAGTTGATGATGACTAATTATCACTTAGATACACTATAATGAACGTTTAACATGATGTTATTCGCCAACAACCCGGTACGTACTGAATGATAAGGTTAAATACCTCGATAAAATTAATAATAGGCTTAAAAAAGATTATTATTATTTAAACATTAGACAAAACGTCAACAGTTCAATTTGTGAAGGTTATGACAGAAAATATTGGTTATATAACTAGGGACATCTGTACATTGTAGGTTGAACTGATTTGAAAACAAAATGATATCTTTAAAAAGGAAACAAAAATACTATTTTTAAACTATGTATATTTTAAGCCCTAAGATAAAACGTTTTCAAGTCCTACTCGCAAGGAAAAAACAACATATTTTGTCGCTAACCATAATACAATAAAAGAGCAGTACTCACTGTTTCTGATATTTCATTGTCCGACATCTCTGAATAAATTGCCGTAGACGCCTTCACTTTGCCACTATTTTTCACTCAAACTAGGTAAATGCATTACGAACAAAATATTTAACAAAGTGAGCTATTTTGTAATTGTAAAATGTATTTTGTAAATTGTAAATAAACAATAAACAAAACTCAAATTTTGACAATGACAGATGACTGAACAACAGCTGACAGCTGATTGCAGAAATCTGTTATATCAATATAGAATTTTAAATACTTTTTAGATATTTTGTATTATAATTTAAATATTATGCCCATTTCGCTTTAATTATATGTTTGATAGTATTTATATCGTTAATTGATTTCTAGAATCAAATTCAGTAATATTTTGTAACGATAACCTGAGTATACTTTTCGTGTCCTTTTCCTATTGCGTAATAGATGGCGCCACATGTATTTTAAATTAATTAAAATTCTGTTATAAAGTATGTCCTGTAATTTTCAATATAATTACAATTAATAAATTACAATTATTAATTGTAATTATATTGAAACTGAACTAACTGTTAACTAAGATAAAAGTCTCTTCCACAATATATTGTATAGAAATAGAAGGAAATTATATTTATATAATATTTATATAACATTTTATATAATATTTATATAATATTTATATAATATTTATATAATATTTATATAACATTTATATAATATTTATATAATATTTATAATTTAATGTTATATTGTACAAAAAATACACGTGGATGCGATATTTTGAGATAAAATTTGATGGTTTCCTTCTGATATACAATGATTAATGATGGAATCATATATTATTAAAAAAAAATAGTTGGGTCTTTATTCAAACCACACAATATTTTTTTGAAATAAAATCCGAAAATTATGGTGGTATAATTTTATTAGTCATAATTATTTATTATATTATTTTAGAATTTTTTAGTCTTTCATTCTAAAAAAAAAAAAAAAATTCTATTATATTATAGCCCAAGAGCCGCAGCCGGCATTTTTTTAAACGTCGCAAATAATATACTAAGTAATACCTTGTAAGTTACAGGGTGTTTCAAAAAACATGTGTCATCTCTCGTGGGGAGAGTCCTGACGTAAAAATTTATTTTTCATATCAACATAGATCCAATTTTGCTTTGTTTTGAAGTTACAGGGTGTTAAAGTTTTAATATTTTTGCGATTTATCATAATTTTCTTCCCAGTAACTTTTAGCGTTTCGAATACAATTTTGATGGTAAAAGTTACTATAAATGCGACATATTTTAAAGCTTAAAAAGAGTTGACATATTCACCAGGGACGTGCATAATATGGGTTATTACTGGAATATTTTTCTAAAAAAGCATGTACGCCACTGACTTTTTTTTCTCTTGTTAGTGAAATTGTGCAAGTAGTTTAATGCCGATTAAAAGTTGACTCTAGATATTTTGCCGATTTCGACCTCCTTGATGAGATAAACGTAATTTTATTAATTTGCCTTGATCCGAAAGTCTAATAGCAACCTTTAAAAAAATTAATGTAATTAACTTGCGAAAGTACTCATTGATTCCTCGTCAAAAAATATGAAAAAAAGTTCCTATAAACATGGGTATGGAAATGCATAGTTTTAGAGCTACAGGATGTTAAAACTTTCTAAAATTAAGTATTTTGTAATTATTCTAATTACCATTGTTTTTTTATTTGAAATTGCTGTAGGTTGGACTATATAATAGTAATAATAACTAATAGTACCTAATAATATTTAATAATAAAAAAGTGATTTATAAAATTGCGTTTATCTCATCAAAGGGACCGAATTCGACAAAATATCAAGAGAAAACGTTTTTAATTGAAAAGTTAAAAGAAAATTATAATAAATCGAAAGATTATTAAGACTTTAACACTCTGTAGCTACGAAACAATGCAGAATTGAGCCTATGTTGATATGAAAAATAAATCTTATTTTTACGTGAGGAATCTCCTCACGAGGGATGGGACATGTTTTTTGAAACACCCTGTATATCAGTTGTTGTATTCTCCGATAGTGGCAGCACCGGCGTAGAATGTACCAAGCCTATTGATATTTAAATCCATTGCTTTACTCTGTTCTCCTACCTTGTTGATCAGTTATTGTTGGTCGGCTATTAAACCGTATATCGTTTTTTACACTTTCTTCAAATTTTAACTAAAGTTATTGGGGTCAAGTCGCTCAAGCAGACAAAGCATAAAATGCAAAATTTTACCATTCCTGCGAATTACCATCCTGTACGTCCCTATACTGGAGACATATACCTAACTCCATTTCATACTTTAATTCTCCGAATAGGTAAAATACCCAGCCCCACTCCCCCCACGACCCGTCTTGATTTATCCGGGCTCTTAGACCATCTCTGGGAGCACCTTTACGATGCGCTGGAACGCGAACCGACAAAGCGGCAGCGGCCCCATCTCGAAAAACAATTACACATCAATTCGAGAAGCGGCCGGCGCCCCCCTGCATCCCCGTTCTCACTGTGTGGGCCCCCCAGGACCGATAAAAGAATGGCTGCGCGCGTTCCTTTTGTCTGTCGGCCGCCGCAAGGAACGATAAAAAACGGCGAATATATTTTGTGTAATTGCGCCGCATAAGTCCGGGGTTTATTATATCTGTTTCCGTGTGCGAATATGCGACCGAGTTGTCGGGCTAGGGGCCCCTTGGGGACACGTGGAGCACGTCATGTTGGTGCGACGCTGTTTCTGGTATAGAGTTGGAGATGGGATGTGATGTTGGAGAAGAGTCTATTTAAAACAGTGGTGGGTAGCGAAAAAGGATATTTTTGTGTCTTTTCATCAGGGTTCTCATCATCATCTCGACCTAACGACTTTCTAAATAGAGATGCACTTTGGGCGATTATGCAAAAATACGGAGTACCCAACAAATTTCTTACAGTGTGTAAAAGCCTCTATAACAAAAAGTCGAGAGTGTCACATCATGGATCACCGAGCGATCCCTTCCTGACAAATATAGGAGTTAGGCAGGGATGTATCCTAGCTCCTCTCCTATTCAACATATTCATGGCAGCGCTCTCTATTATAATGGACAGTAAACTGCAGGAAAGAGGAATGGGTGTTAAGTACAGGTATGATGGCGGTCTGTTCAATATAAACAGACTCAGGGCAAAAACACGTAAAAAAATCATCACAGAACTCCAAGACGCTGATGAGTGCGCTCTAGTTGCAAATACGTTACAGCAATTACAGGAAATGCTGAACACATACACATGGGCACACGAGACTTTGGGCCTTAAGGCTGAACATCGATAAAACTAAAATCATGTGCACTCCCCCGGAAAATCATAACAGCGCTATGAAAATCGGAGAACTATTGGAATATGTATCGGAATTTAATTCTACAATCATGACTAGAGCACAAAAACGAAACTTGCAGTGTATCGAGCAGTAATAATCCCCACTATGTTATATTGAAGCGAAATCTTGCTGTCGCATGCCGTACCGTTGGCACACGAGCGCATTAAACAAGTTGCAACAGAGACACCTTAGACAACTGTTAAGAATTAAATGGTACCACTATGTCTCAAACGTACCAGTCCTTGAAAAAGCAAGCTGCGATAGCGCTGAAGTCATGATTACTAAATCTGGCTTAAAATGGGCTGGCCACCTATGCAGGATGCAAGAAAACCGCCTACCAAAATCTCTTCTTTACGGTGAACTTGTTGAGGGTAAGGGGAAACCGGGTGGACAACTCAAAAAATACAAGTATGTTTTCCATGAAAACTTAAGGTCCGGAGTGCGGAAGAGAGATAACATCACGTATCGGGCTTTTCAGTCACAGAAAAGCTCATGAAAGAAAACGCCTTGCATAACCATCTTCTAATGCGTGTCAAATACTCGTCAGCGAGTAATGGCAGTAAGTAAGTAAGTAAGTCATCATCATCATCATTCTCAGCTTATTCAACCATTTCCAATAATTATGGTGTAGCCTCCCTCGCATGTTTAGATACTCTCTTTGTAGTTGAGCCCATTGTTGTATATTGTTGACTATGCGAGCCCAAGTTATCCCTGCTAATTTCCTGATTTCATGGTCCCATCTCAGGTTTGGTCTTCTTCTAGGTCTCTTAATTCTTCGTGGACACCGTACTGTAATTTTTGCGGTCCATCTGTTGTCCGTTCTTCTTCCTAGGTATCCTGCCCATTGTCACTGAGAGATTTTATTCTGTGGATGGGGGGGGGGGCATCTATTACCTGGGTCTTTTATCGTATCCACTTTATTCTTTTATGGTCTTTTTTGGTTATTCCCAGCATTAACCATTTTATGAATCTCATTGGAAAAAGCGCAAATTTAAAGAGGCCGTATTCACATCTATCAATAATAAAATCTTTAGTAATCTATGTATGGAAGTTTCAACAATATGGTAACCATAAAATAATAAATACAAGAAGAAGTGTCAAGTCAATGTTAAATTATGGAAACAGCGTGGCTGCCTGGGTAACTAATTTTCAGATATGGCGGCTGGGACATTTGACATGACTATGACATGACATAGACATGACAATTTCAATTTTATGAAATTTATTTCCGTTTCCGGTTTTTAATGGCGGGCTGTTCGGGAGGTTTAAATGAGGGTTAATATGCTTTTTACTCTTTCTAGTAGTAAATAATACAACAAAATTACTCAAAAATATTTATTTGGAAACAATGTAAATATGCAAATCAACACAATTAAAGAGCTATAAACCAATAAACTACTGTATCAATATTAAATATTTAAATAATAGCACAGATGCTGTGTTAAAGTGAATTAGTAAAGTAACAGTGCATTGACTTACAGAAACTTGAAGATAGATAAATGTTTTCACAGCTTCACGGGCATAAAACTAAATAACTGGAAGCAGGAAAAAGGCAACCGGAACCCACACAAAACCTGGAATCAAAAAAAAATATGTAAAAAATATAAATATAGGTACCTACATAAGACTTTTGTGAATTAAATCAAACAGGACTTGAATGAAAATAAAATGAATAAAAAATATGATACATATACATCTAATCCCTCATTTGTATTTTAAAAATAATCTACATACATAGATTTATAGCATTATTGCTATGAAAATACATAATAGGTACCTATGTGATATGTAATTACGCATTTCTGTTCATCTTGTAGAAATTTAACGTATTCTAAAAATAGTTCAATAATCAT